TTTGGTATACGCAGTTTTGTCTTCCAGGGCCTCCATCTGCCACCCCAAGAAGTGATGGGACGCTCAGTAACATGGTCACCTCCGAAAGCACATCCCTCTCCTGAATGCGACAGCCTGCCAATACGCGTCAGGCCAGCTGTCAGTCAAGCTGTCACTCGTCCAGACATGCAGACACTATGTTGAGGAAGGGCACAAACCGATGACTGATGGTGGCTGTTTGTCTCAGGCTGTGATAATGATAATGAGGATTAGGGAGAGTATGATACAGGCAGCAAAACGTTTTAGACATCTGTCCTGTAATAATATGTTTGCTGGCGACAAATAATACTAAAAATGTTTAGCCATTAGGAGGGGAATAAACTGGATGACACTTTTAGTTTAGGGACCAATTCTCACCATAAACAACTGTCTGCTTAGATGCCAATTTTAAAGATACTTGCTGTTTATTAGTACCTAAAACACACACACACATACCTACACACACACACACACACACACACACACATATATATATATATATATATATATATATATATATATATATATATATATATATTAGGGATGTAACAATATTGTTAATACCGTCATACTGCAAAAGCAATTTCTTTCAATATTACCGTGGTTGTAACTCAATAAAGTCATAGGTCTTTTGGTGAAAAGTTTGCTTAGGCGAATGGAGCGAATGGGAGGTAGCGGAAACTACAATTTTCATCAGCCCAGGCGTGGCCATTATCCTTACCGATCCAGTAATGCAGAAATTGAGGGTGCTGCTAGTAGCGGCAAATGAAAAAGAGCTAAAAATGGTCGAACCTAAAGAGGGTTTTAAATCAGATTTCAGTTTCTCTCTGAAAAGAAACAAGAAAAAAGAAAAGGTGACAGAAAAAAGGGTATGCAGGCACTGCCAGACTGTGCTGAAATACAAGTCAGGGAATACGACTAACATGATGGGGATTATTTTAGTCAAGGGGACAGCAGAACACAGCACACTGCTCAGATTGATGGAGACATTGACTTGTACCACCAAGAGACCTCTATCTCACACATGGCTTGTCCTTTCGAGTGGTGTTTTTTTTTTTTTACATGGTTTAATATTTTTTGTTATTAAAATTGAATAATTTAGATTCCTGTTTGAAAGTTTTGAAGATAATTTGTATGTCATTGATCTGTTCAGTCTTAAGGTAACTTGAACATTCTAGCACTTTTTTTTAGTCTCTTCAATAGTTTTGTTTTTCCTTTAAATTAGTCAATAAATCCCGTACCGTGCCATTCATACCGAGGTATTACCGTATCATGAAATTTTGATACCGTTACATCCCATATATATATATATATATATATATATATATATATATATATATATATATATATATATATATATATATATATGATCTTATTATACAACCCTAACACCTAAACCCAATTGGTGTTGGATAAGTTATGAAAAAGTAATCAATTACTGATTACTAGGCCAAAAAGCAATTCATCAGGCGTCACCAAACTTGTTCCTGGAGGGCCGGTGTCCTGCAGATTTTAGCTTCAACTCTAATTAAACACACCTGAACAGGCTAATCAAGGTCTTACTAGGTATACTTGAATCATCCAGGCAGGTGTGTTAGAGGCAAGTTGGAGCTAAACCCTGCAGGGACACCGGCCCTCCAGCACCGAGATTGGTGACCCCTGCAATACATGATCATAAAAACCTGTAGTTTTCCATTGATTTTTTTAGCCCATGATTGAGTCTATGTATTTAATGTAAATGCGTATGAATTTACATTTACTCAGTTTTTTTATTCATTTTTTTATTTTTTATTTCACTATTATTATTAAATAATGTGCAATTGTTTATGTGATTTATGTACAATATGGTTTGTAAAGGATTATTTTTTAATGTAACCTTAACCCATAATTTTTCCAAACTTGACTGATTTCTGAGAGAATCTTGGTTCCATATGGGTTCCAATAGGTCTTCTGCAGTATTTGTGATGATGGGGTGCAGATCAACAGATGATTCATCTAAAAAAATCTACCTTCTGCCACTTTTTCAAATGATCAACTAGAAGTCAAGTTATTTGTTGCTCTTACAACTGTGATCAACGAGAAGACTTTTGTCAGGTAGTTTATACATTAACCATTAATAAACAGCAAATAATCAGGAGTTCATTAAGCTTAAAGCCATAGTTAATGATTTGTTAATAGTGAGAATTGTATATTAAACTAAAGCGTGACCAAAAACTACAACAGATTATGCACATTTTCAGATGTAAACACAGTTTATTTCATACAAAGTGCTTTAATGAGCTATTAAACTGATGATTTAATTGCGAATTGTAATTTAGTGACTAATCCTTCATGCTACAAATGAGATAGTTGCAGCTTTCTTGCAACAAATATGAATTGTTAATTTATAGGCTGATTATGTTGATTTACCTTGCGTAACATTCTTCGGGAAGAGGAAAATCCAACTGTTCTGTCCTAATCCTGTCCCACACAAACACAATCACACACTAAAAAACATCCCAAAACACAATGGAGCTTAACAGTCGGGGCTCCATCTGGGAATAAAAATCTCATTCACTTTCTCCAAAGAGGACTGGATATAAAACAACCTTTCAAGAAAGAGTCACTATGTGCTCTGAATTTGTAAAGTAATGATACATGCAACCACAGAAGCCATTCAGATTTCAGTACCCTTTTTTAAACAGATAAAAACCTGAAGGCACAGTTACTATAAAAAATGACTCGCTGTCAGGCCATGCAGGATGTAGGTGACCTTTTTTCTTCAGCAGAACATTTTGTAGCTTAAACCATGATCCTTGGGGGAAAATTTAAAGTCTGTGGCTATTGGATATTTGAGATAAAAACAAAGAAACGAACATAACAAAACATACATGTGAGGGAAAATTATACCCAGGGCTGCTGCTGCTGCTACTTCGAGCTCTTAGGAAATGATCTGTCTATGTGTATGAGACTAAACACGGTTTACAAAATGATTAGCTTTAATACAAAACTACCGCAAATGATCCAGAGTTTGGTTTGCGAATGATTTTTTATTTTGATTCCAATTTGACTAAACAGAACCGCTTATTCAAACCTTACTTTCAGATGTCCCTGATTCAAAATGAGCCCATATTCATTCAGCTTATTCCCTTATTGATCAGGGGCCGCCACAGCAGAATGAACTGCCAACTATTCCGGCATATTTTACGCAGCGGATGTCCTTTCAGCTAGTCCAGGTACTCCACACAGGAGTACCTGGTGGAGGAGGCATTAAAGATGAATCCAAAATATCTTGATGAACCCTGGGATTCCTGCAAAATGCTTTCTTTGCCATTCCAGATGACTTTATTAATAAGTGATTTGAGTCATTGCAGAGATGTATGGATGCAGTCCTCCAAGCTCATGGGAGTCATACACAATATTAATTTGTTTTACAATGCGCCCTGACTTTATATTCTATACTGAACATTATTTCTGTTGAGTGACAAGACTTTTGTCTAAGCAAAGTCAGACTTTACTGTCCTAATTAAAGAATTCAAAATCAAGACATGATCATATTTTGGTAAAATAAGCGTCATCTAGAGGCCTTTGCATTTCATATAAGCCACTTCTGATACCAAATGATCAACTAGAAGTCAAATTATTCTTTGTTGTTTCTAAAACTTGGATAGGCGACAGGACTATTGTCAGGTAGTGCATACCTGTATAAAGTTTTGCCATTGCAGGATTACCAAAACAAACTGATGAAATAAAGGTGAATTGTTTGACAGAACTCCAGACAATAATCTGACTTGATTTGCTAGGTTAAAGCTATTTCAGTGTAATAATGTGAGAAAAAATTTTCAACTTCTTGCACAGGTGGTTTCAATTCATTTAAGCTCAATCTGTCATCTAAAGCAATGGCTATTCATTTTATTTTGCCCGTATATGCTTTTGATTTGACTTTCAAATAAATGGTAACCAATTACCTAGACTATATGAAACATCAATACTCAAAAATGACTGCTACATGTTTAAACTACTTATTTAAAATTAGTTTAAAGACTATTCTTAAGTTTCTTTTGGGCGATGACCTAATTGTTTTATGTTCAATTCACTTCAAAAAACGACTGTAAAAACTATTAAGTTAACCTAATCACCTTTATTCTCGTGCTGCAGATGCTCTGTTTAACTGTTTTCTCACTATAAGCTCAACTCTGTTAGACCATGCGGATCGATGCAAAGCGTATTTTTCCATCCTTATAATAGCAAAAGTGGATTCGCACCATACCTGCCAACACTCCCGTTTTTCCCAGGAGTCTCCCGTATTTCAGACCCATCTGCCGGCTATCTTCTATATTGTTCTGTCTTCCGGAAAAATCTCAGAAGTCCCCCCCTCGCTCCTCAGCTTTTTGGTACAGTCCGGTCCATATGCGCACCGAACCCAACAAGCAACCATCTTCATATCTGCTCCCCGCTCTTCAGTTTGTGCGCACCTTCCCCCCGCTCTTCACTTTGCACGCATCCCTGGATAAAATCTCCTGGACTTCAGGATCCGAATGTTGGCAGGTATGATTCGGACACGCCCTTAATGCTTTTGCGCCCTGCGTTTTAGACCTTGCACCTAGATCATTAAAATAGAGCCCTAAGTGTTAATGGTTTTTAATAGCAATAATTATAGCACTAAAATAAAATGTGAGCAATATTTTTAATATTGTATGTTTCATATATTGTATGGTCAGAAATATTAGGGGAAAAGTACTGCTGGGCAGTTGGGTTTTATAGTATGCTTATGACCAAAATGTAAGTTTTTTTTTTTTTTTTTTTTTGCCTGTTTTGTTGTCCACTACAGAAAAAAAATAAATCTGAATTTGACAACTGAAAAATAATAGGAGGAATCAATGTCTGTGTTGGAATCGCTGCAAACTAAAGCATACATTTTAAACCTATACAGTACAGACGTTCATAGCAAAATGTGAACCTAGACAAAGTTCACCAAAATAAAAAGGCAAAGTACATTTAAGTTAATTTCCATTGATTTAATCCTCTGCACAAACACATTTTCAAAAAATATATTCACAAACTTTAAAACATTTCAAGCAAAGTCAACAATTAAAAAAAAATAAATGCCCCAAATGGTTCATATGTAATGGCCTACCAAATAGCAAGGTTTTGCTTCCCCAAGACATCCTGTATTAAGCAATCCTCTGAGAAAAGAAGTAAACTTTTAAAATGTAACGCAATTAGGTATATTTTAGCCTTTATGAACGACCAGACAGGTCCATATTAGACCAAAAGAATAAATGCCCTACCTAATACGGCACAAGGGTGCAATATGACTGCTTTAGCCAATTATTCTGACACATATTGATCGAGAGAGACAGAAATCTGCAGCGCAACTGGAGAGACAAATTTTAAGAAGCACTGCAGAGATATATGTGGTCAGTGTGTGTTCTCTGCATAACCATACTGTGTTTATAATGGGGTTTTTACCTCCTGCAGACAAAGAAATACTGGGGAACAGTGTATAGTTTGAGTTTGTATAAGTGTAGTGTGGCCCCTGTAGTTCTGCTTATGAGAAGTCCTGGTCCTCTTAGTGTAATGTAAATTTTACCGCCAAATATTCTTTTCTTCATTACCGGAATGTAGTTGGATAATACAGGAATGCGTCAGTGTGATAAAAACACAGTGAGACACCCGATTCAGACATTATAGTCCAGTGTGTCTGAAGGGTTAAAGCTCCTGGAAGAAGGCCACTCTGGATTTGGTGCTCTGTAGAGTGAGCTGTGGAGACAGATTGAAGAAGGTTTAGATGTGTTAAAGAACTGTGCTATGCTCCAAACTGAAGTCACATTTAAGGTCACATTTAAGGTGAATACATATTTATTAATAAATGGCACATGCAAAAATGACTGCACACTGAATTAGACATTTTCAAATGTAATTTTCACACGATAAAAGATAAATTCAACCTCACGTTGTGTTAATCGTATTGACAAACTGCCTCAAACTTTTCGCAATAAATAACATTTATAAGGGGTTTAACCTGACAACAGTCTGTGAATATAGCCAGCCTCTAACGGTAAAAATTATTATTATTTTTTTTATAATCACACTTGATTAAAGCAGTCTCCAGAAACACTTTGTTTGACATTCTCCCTTTTTATGTGTCATCAGAGAGGGAAAGCACCGCCCATTAGGTGTTTGGACAGTTCTGAGCCACCATACTGTACAAGTGGACGGCAAAATCCAGAATGCTGTCACTTGACCAGCACAGATCTCTTAATGACAAACACAGTGCATAAATTAAAATAAAGAAACAAACAAAAAAAAAAACATCCATATGACAATTTCAGACATAGTGCAAAGATCCTAACAGTTTTTGTCAAAAAGATTTCGACTTTAAGTAAATGTTTTAATTTTAGTATGCAAAGAATCCTTAGACTCATTAAATTAAGATTTGAAGTACTCTTGTTTATCTCAGTGGTGTTGTATGTAAATTATTCTGCATTTTGAGCAAATAATTCAATGCATCAACTTAATTCGCGAGCTTTTTAATGAGGCAAATGAATGACTCAGTGAGCCGTTTTCGTTTCTAATTATTATTTCATTGCACAACATAATTGAATATTTCCATATTAATACAAGAGAATATAAAATACATTTTGAAGATTATTGCAAACCAAACAGGTTAAATGGTCTGTGAATACGTCTAAATACCAATTAAGATATAAAATCTTGAAATAGAAAAAAAAACATGCCTGTAGCAGAAATGTTCTGTAATAAAACCAAAAACAAATAGTTTCGTATTATTATTATGCTACTTTTTGAAAGGTTTGTAGCTAGTTATTGGTTTTCATATTTACGTAAAATAATTAATAATATATTAATATAATTATTATTGTATTAATAATTATTATTATTTTAGAGGGGTTTTCACAATCCAATTTAAATTGTGGTGACAATAATTAGATAAAAAAAGGTCAAAAGGCCCTGTGTTTTTGTTTATTCCTCTGTGTGTGTGTGTGTGTGTGTGTGTGTGTGTGTGTGTGTGTGTGTGTGTGTGTGTGTGTGTGTGTGTTTATTATATCTATTCATCTATCTCTATCTATCTATCTATCTCAATAGACAGATAGAACAATAGATAACATGATAGATGGATAAAACGATAGATAGTACAATAGATAAAACAATAGAAATCTAGATAGATAAATAAAAGAATGATAGGCAGATAGAATGACAGATAGATCAATAGAACGATAGATAGAGCAATAGAAAGACAGAACGATTGATATAACGCTAGATAGAACGATAGATAGAATGACAGACAGAACAATAGATAGAATGACAGACAGAACAATAGATAGAATGACAGACAGAACGATTGATAGAATGACAGACAGAACGATAGAATGATGGAACAACAGATCGAACAAACGATAGATCGAACGGATGAATGGACGAACGAACCGACGCGTGGGTAGACGGAGGGACTGACTGATGGATGAATAGAATGAAGAATAGAACAGAAATGTAGATAGAACAATAGAAGGATGATAGATGGAGAGACTGATAGAACAATAGATAGACAGGCAGAAAGACAATTGAAAATAGACAGAACGATAGAGTGATAGAATGAATGATCAAGACAGACAGATAGATAGATAGATAGATAGATAGATAGATAGATAGATAGATAGATAGATAGATAGATAGATAGATAGATAGATAGATAGATAGATAGATAGATAGATAGATAGATAGAACAACAGTAATAGATAGAATGATAGAAAGATGGATAGAATGCTAGATAGAACAATAGATAGAATGATATAAATAGAACGATAGATAGACTGAATGATCAATAGACAGATGGACAGATGGATAGATAGATGGATAGACAGAAAAAACGATAGATAGTAATACAGATAGAATGATAGAAAGATGAATAGAACGCTAGATTAATATACTGACAGAAAGATAGATTGATAGATAGAACAACCGATAGAACGCATGATAGATAGAACGAATGAATGATAGAGATATTTCAATACACAATATGATAGATGGATAGAACAATAGACAGACAGACAGACACGATAAAAATATAGACAGAATGATAAATAGAGTGATAGAATAAATGGTCAATAGACGGATGGATGGATGGATGGATGGAACAACAATAATATAGATAGACTAATAGAAAGATGGATAGAACGCTAGATAAAACGTTAGACAGAATTATATAAATAGATAGAACGACAGATAAAACAATAGATAGAATGACTGATCAATAGACAGATGGACAGACAGATAGATAGGTATGACCACATGGAATCTGCGGACATTTTTGCTATTTCTGCGCAGAATTGTGTTAAAAATATGCAGATTTATGCTGAATAATTTTGCCAGTATCATAACTAAAATCTTAATATTGTAAAAGAAATATTAATACCTTTTTAACTTTTATCTAATCTTTACAATGCAAATCCAGTTAGATCCACTTTATTTGGTAAACAAAGCAAGTCTCTCATATCATATCTCTACTAAAAGACTTTACAAACTGTAATATAAATAAATCATAAGTAATAAGTCATATTAGTCAATAATATTACTGTAACTTAAAAACGGAATAAATATAAATTTACACACATTTACACAATAAACAATCAATGATGGGCAAAAAATCTGCGGAATTCTGCGCACACAGATTCCATGTGATCGTATTGATAGGTCAATAGATTGACAGAGCGATAGATCGATAGATAGATAGAACTAGAGACAGAATGAATGATAAATAGAACGAATGAATGATAGATAGAGATTTTTCTATACACACAGACACAAACACAAGCATGCAAAATTAAATTCATAATATAGCATATTTAATAATGAATTTACAATTCCTGCTCATTATTAAATCATTAACCAACTGAATAAATTCTCAATGATTATGTGACAGTGGTATTTAATTTTTTATGCACACACCATGAGAAACCCTAGACATGTATGCCATGTTTAACATAGAGAGAGAGCGAGAGAGAGAGAGAGCGAGAGCGAGAGCGAGCATGTGTGTGTCTCTGATCAGCTGTCAGTAGTCTGTGTGAAGCCACTGACAGTGATGTTTAAAGACAGAATCCCTCATGAAACACTGGCGTAAACAAACAAAACGAGACAGCAGAGATGGGCAAATGATTAAATTAATGCTTTGCGAAGATGGTACATTTTGTGCTTCAATAATGAATAATTTTGCTAGGGATTTAAGCACACTTACCCTGAAATACCCCAAACTTGTCAGCTTCTACTAAACATCTTGAGTTATAAATGTCCCAATAAAAACTCTACACATGCCTCTGGTTACTGTGTAAACCGTGTAGTCTGTGTTACTCTGGAATCTGGACAACTGTGTGATCTTGAGATGAACTGACTTCAAATGTCCACCAAAAAAATTATACCGAGAGCAGCTGGTTAAAAATAAATGCAACAACACGTAAGAAATTTTCAAAAGGAGTGAGGTTCAGCACTGATAACAGCCATATACTTAAAAATGAAAGTTCTGAAATTTGGCAGCTTCCAGTCAGTATGATGAACCATTGTCAAAATAAGAATGAGAAACTATACAGTGAATCCGGAGAGTATTGATAGCGCTTCACTTTTTCCACAATTTTTTGTTACAGCCTTATTCCAAAATGGATTAAATTGATTTATTTCCTCTAAATTCTACAAACAATAGCCCAGAATGACAATTTGAACAAAAAAGTTTTTGAAATTGTTGCAGATTTATTAAAACCTTAAAAAAAAAAAAAAAAAAAAAAAAAACTGAAAAATCACATGTACATCAGTATTCAAAGCCTTTGGCGTAAGGATTTGAGCTCAGGTACATTCTGTTTCCACTGATTATTCTTGAGATGTTTCAGCAGCTTAATTAGAGTTCACTTGTGGTCAATTCAGTTGATTGTACATGATTTGAAAAGGCATACACCTGTCTGTATGAGTTCCCAGGTTTGACAGTGCATGTCAAAGCACAAACCAAGCATGAAGACAAAGGAATTGTCTGTAGACCACCGTGACAAGATTGTCTTAAGTCACAAGGTTGGGGAAGGTTACAGAAAAAATCCTGATGCTCTGAAAGTTCCAATGAGCACAGTGGCCTCCATCATCCATAAGTGAAAGGTGTTTGGAATTACCAGGACTCTTCCTAGAGCTGGCCGTCCATCTAAGCAGAGTGATCGGGGGGAAAAGGGCCTCAGTCAAGAGGTGATCAATAACCCGATGGTCACTCTGTCTGAGCTCCAGCGTTCTTCTGTGGAGAGAGGTGAACCTTACAGGAGGACAACCATCTGTGCAGCAATCCACCATTCAGGCCTGTAGGTAGAGTGGCCAGACAGACGCCAGTCCCCGCCTGGAATTTGCCCAAAGGCATCTAAAGAACTAAGAACCATGAGAAACTAAATTCTCTGTCTGATAAGAATAAAATTGAACTCTTTGGAGTGAATGCCAGGGGTTACTTTTAGAGAAAACCCAGCACCGCTCGTCACCATGCTAATACCATCCCAGCAGTGAAGCATGGTGGTGGCAGCATCATGCTGTGAGGATGTTTTTCAGCAGCAGGAACTGGAAGACTAGTCAGGATAGAGGGAAAGATGAATGCAGCGATGTACAGAGACATTCTGAATGAAAACCTGCTTCAGAGTGCCCTTGACCTCAGACTTGGGCAACGGTTCATCCTCCAGCAGGACAATGACACAAAGCACACCGCCAAAATATCAATGGAGTGGCTTCAC